CCCACCTACAGCCTTTCTACAGAGGGAAGATTTGTAAATTTTAAACAAATCTCAAGTGTTTAAAGGAATTAAAATACTTTAAGAATTACCTTAGCAGAGCTATCCTTTTTAAACAAACATTTTAAATAAATTTTATTATGGATATTTAAGGTATACACATGATGTTATTTTAACCAGATTTTTTTAAGGATCTCTGTCAGAAATAGTTACACACATGATTCTTTCTGAATACTTCTCGGTTTTTCATTATGCATTCCTAAACCCAAAAGGTGGGTAAGAATTAGAAGAAAGTGAACTTTACAGAACAACATCCAACAGCTCATAAAAGAATAAGAGACATGACCAAGTAGAGTTTACTCCAGAAAAGCAAGGAAGGTTCAGAACTAGGAAATCAATTAAAACCAGGGATCCACATGTACCCCAGGTTCTGCCAAAAATATATATACACAGGCGTGAGACTGAAAAAATGGAAATGAACAACATAATGTTCAGTATCTGCATGCAGGGAGACAAGAACTCCTGGCAAGCACAGTGGTAAAAACATTTGGTTCTTCTAGGAAAGCTCTGGCAGAGATTTTAGTCTACAATACTTAGTATCATCAGGACCAAGCAGCATAAGGAAATGACAGCTGGGTTTTTGGTAAAACAGTCCCTGGGTATGATCCAGTCAATTCTCCTAGTTACATGGTCCTGGCTATGAAATATACATGCTTGGTTCCCTAGTACTCCCAGAAACTCTGTAAGCCATCTAATATTCTATAAAGTATTCCATTCTACTTAAACTAGCTGAAATAAATTATACTGACTAAATACATTGTCTGTAAAATTTTTTAAATTCATAGTTCAAATAAGAACTCTGACCAATATAGACCATTAGTTTTTGTTTCATGAATATTATTTGCTTGTTTTGTCTTTGAAATAACTTCAAACATTCAAAAAAATTGCAAAAATAGTGCAGAGTTCCTGTATACCCTTCACCCAGCTTCCCCTAAAGTATATGTAATATATTAAATAAACCAGGAATTTAACATTTACAATACTATTAACCAATCTACATATCTTATTAAAATTTTGCCACTTGTCACATTAATGCCCTTTTTCTGATCCAGGATCCAGCCCAGCATCGGCTTAGTCTCCTCCAAGCTAAGACAGTTGCATAGGTATTCTTTGACTTTCATGAATCTGACATTTTTGAAGAGTACTTGCCAGTTACTTTATAAAATGTCTCCAAATCTGAACGCTTTTCATGTAACACATTTTTGACAAGAATACCCCAGAAATGATAAGTGCCCTTCTCGGTGAATGATTTCAGATGGTAACTGATTTCAGTATGTCTAAATAATGATGAAGTTAACTTTGATCACTTATTCAAAGTGGCATCTGTCAGATTTTTCCATTTTCAGGTTAATATTTCTCATTTTTAAATTATTTAGTACCTTGGTGAGAAACTTTGAGATTACACAAATATCTTGGTTTTCATCATACTTTTAAGCATCTGTTGATGAATCTTGCCTGTGGCTATTATTACTGTGGCATTTGCTAAATGGTGGTTTTATATTTCCATCATACTTTCTTCATTTATTAATTGGAAAAGATTTACTTTAATTAAAAAAACAAAAAACAAAAAAAACTTCCACACCTGGTGCTGGGAAAATATAGGAAAAAAAAAA